CCCCGTGTCCGTGCACACCACCACAGCTGGGGCCAGCTGGATCTACACCCGGGCTCTAAGGACACACTCCCCCGTGTCCGTGCACACCACCACAGTTGGGGCCAGCTGGATCTACACCCGGGCTCTAAGGACACGCTCCCCCGGCCCCGTGCACACTATCACGGCCGGAGCCAGCTGGATCTACACCTGGGCTCTAAGGACACACTCCCCCGTCCCCCGCGCACCTTCACGGCCGAGGCCAGCCGCCGGTCCTGCTCCTCCAGCTGCTGGTGCTCATTCTGCAGCTCGTTGCCTCGTTGCAGCAGCTTCTGCTTCTCCTCCTCTTTGACTAGGAGAGAGGGCCAGGACCAGCCGGGAAGGCAGGTGAGCAGTGACTGGGCCGTAGGGTGACCCAGAGAGGCAGGAGGAACGGAACCAAGGCCCAGGTCACCAAGCCTCCCTGCCCCCTCTCCCAACACCAACAGGAGTCAGTGGCTCTGGTCAAATGCTCAGAGACTGGAACTGCTCCCCCAGCAGAGCCTGCCCTGCACACAGGGCCGTCCCAGGGGCCCTCTTCAGAGCGCTGGCCTGCAGGAGCCTGGGCCCGTTCAGCCTCCTAAAGGCCCAGAGTGAACCCAGAGGCCGGGGTGGGAGGATGGCGACGGGGATCAGGCACTCTTCCCACCTGCCAAGACTTCTTACCTGTCTTGTGGGTGACATAGGAGTGCACGATGGCCAGCATCCCGGTCCAGGGCACGCCCTCATCTTTCTTTAAGGCCTGTGGGGCAGACAGGGAAATGACAAAGTGTGGAGGCCCTGGGAGCTGCTGGGATGGCCGCACCTGGCTGTGTAAAACTGGGGGAGGCACACCCTCTCTGAGCCACAGGTCCCTCCCCTGTGACCAGGGGAAGGGGCCACACCTGCCTCGTGGCCTGGCTCACGGAGGCTGCTCGGTAAGATGAGGGCAGGAACCTTCTAGGTTTCTCTCCCCGCTCATCACCAGAGCCTGGCACAAGGAGAGGCTCACGTACCCCCCGAGTGAATGAACGAACAACCACTTATCTTCTTCCCATGTCCAGGGGACCTGGGCGCAGCCAGGCCCAGGCGAGGCAGGGAGGCGTGGGAGACGCAGTGGGGGCCACCACCGTGCTGAAGCAGGGGCAGAATCTTGCCCAGTCTCCACATGCCCTCAAAAAGCTGTGACCCCCTGGTAGTCATGATGCAGGGGCTGGTGGCCCCCACAGGGGACAGCCCCGCAGCGGCACCCAGTCCACCATATCCACCTTCCTTGGTCCCCCGGGATGACGGGAACTCACGGTGGCTAACGCTTTCTGAATAAAGGGAGCTCCCCGACGGTTCGGTCGCGCATGCTACGGAAAAGCACACTAGAACCAGCCTCGCCACTGCCGCCACCCGGCCACGAGGGGTCGCCTGGCGGCATTTTCTCCCAGGTTTTTTGTTCTGCAGTTTTTCTCAGACAGCTGATTACAAACCATACAGCAGTTTAATTTGTATAGTTTACAAAGCCTGCTTTTTATTTTTATAACGTAATTGCATATAGCGGACAAGTCCCAAACAACGTCACTGCTGTAATACGTCATTTTCCATCGTTCTCACTGAGCGCAGAGTCGGAACTCATTTCACCACCGGGTGCTGTCGGGAAGTTGGACTGTTTGCGTCTTTCCCTCGTGTAAATAAAGTGAGAAGGGCTTCTCGGTGCTTGACACTGTGTCCACTCTGGGATTAGCCTGGACTCCCCATAGCGAGACTCAGGTTGTAAAGAGGCCACGTGGAGAGAAGGCGGCAGCCGGCGTCTCGTGGGTGGGGCCGGGGATGTTGCTAAATCTCACGCTGCACAGGACGATGCCACGATCAGGGGTCATCCAGCCCAAATGCCAACGGCTGAGAGAGCCTGCGCCGCACCCAAGCCCCACTTCTCACCCCTCCCCTGCCCTCCCCGTCTCTGGCCACAGTGGGGACGCCCAGGAAACTGATGTCGTGGCCCATCAGGGCCTGAGGTCCAGGGTGAGGGGCCACGCAGACTCCGTACCTTCTGCTGGCACTTGGGGCACACCCACATGCCCTTGGGCGCCGTCTTGAGGGGGGGGTCCAGGCAGCTGAGGTGGTAGGCCCCCGGGCAGGTGCCGCAGGGCTGCAGGTTGGCCCCGCGCTTGCAGGCAGCACAGTGCTCCTCGTGGGTGATCTCGTTCTGGAAGAGAAGGGGGCACAGGTGGGCCACCCGGGGCTGGGCCCAGGCAGCTGCCGTTCCAACCCCCTTGTGGCCGCTCTTCTGCCAATGTTTCTCAGCAGCTCCAAGGAGAGAGCAACAAGCCCTGGAGGGTGACAGTGTGGGGACAGGCCTGGGCCCCAGGAGAAGGGGCTGCCTGACGTGCACGATTCCAGAGCACCAGCCAGGCCACATTGACTAGGGGCTGGGGCCACTGAGCGTTGGAGTCGGGCACGATGTGACTCCCGTGTCCTGATTCTTCCGTGCTGAGACCTGACTTGGGTGTGGGTGACGGGAAGGGTGTCCTGCTGTGGCAATGGCCACAGTCCCGCTCGGGGTCTGCGTTGTGCCGTATTCTGGGCGTGGGGCCCAGCCTCGGCTCGCACTGCCTCTGGGAGGGAGGCCGCGGCCTGGGACAAGATGCCCACGTTCCCCGTTCCCTGGCGGCGCCCCCCGAACTCCTGTTAATGGCACATCAGTCTAACCTGAGACCCCACGTCCTGGGGCGTTACTGCCTTCCCCCCAGTTTCTGCATCTGTAATAGGATGACAACACCTGCCCCCCAGGTTGTTGGGAGGACTGAACAGGACAAAGCACTTGAAGTGCCCGATTCACACCAGCTCCGCGCAGGAGCATGGTAAAGGGCAGCTTCCCCCTTTCCCGGGGACGAGAGAATGTCAAATGTCCCTTCTACAGAGCCATCATCATTCGGTCACTCAGTCTCTACTGACACACCTCCGGGGACAGGGAGATCATTACCTGTACAGTCAGCCTGCTGCACTGTAGGCAGCTCTGACTGCAAGTGAGGCCACGGTTTTACAACCCCACACTTCCCATGACCTGCAAAATCTGAACAATTTCCCACCACCCAACGGAAACCCGCCTGCAAGTTACATCTGTTCTCTATGTGTCAACAGCACCTTCCAACTTTATTTATTGTTTTTTTCTGAGACAGAGTCTTGCTCTGTTGCCCTGGCTAGAGTGCCATGGCGTCAGCCTAGCTCACAGCAACCTCAAACTCCTGGGCTCAAATGATCCTCCTGCCTCAGCCTCCCGAGTAGCTGGGACTACAGGCATGTGCCACCATGCCCGGCTAATTTTTTCTATATATTTTTAGTTGTCCAGCCAATTTCTTTCTATTTTTTTTAGTGGAGACGGGGTCTCACTCTTGCTCAGGCTGGTCTCGAACTCCTGACCTCGAGCAATCCTGCCGCCTGGGCCTCCCAGAGTGCTAAGATTACAAGTGTGAGCCACCACGCCCAGCCAGTACCTTCCAACTTTAGAGTTGGGAAAGACTAGAGGGATCTCATCTGGGATGGCCCATGTGACAAGGACGCTGGATGACCCTGAAGGAGGGGGCAGCACGCTCAGATGAGGCCTCAGAGACCCCCGTCTACACCCTTTGTTTCAGTGCAAAGGCCCACGAGGGTGAGGCAGTTGTCTGAGATCACAGAGCAAGCTGGAGGGGGAGTCAGGACCAGCATCTGGGTCGCCTGCCTGGAAGCCAAGGCCCCTCCAGGACCGTGGGCTCTGTCAGGGCAGGGCTCAGGCTGAAGGCAGCTCCTGTCCCCATGCTTGCCCTGGCTGAGCACAGGGTGTCTGCGGACAACCCTGCTGGGCCCAGCACCACTCTGCGCCATGGCAGGAACACAATACGGCTACCTGGAGTTGGAACCACCTGTCGCTTCCTTGAGGCTTGACCATTACAAGCATGCAGGGACTAGAAAATTCTTTTAGAACTGGATCAGCAATTTAGTAAAGAAAAACGCTGACTAAATTCTGAGGTCACGTCCATGAATGAGGTCACGACCAGCCAATGTCCTGGGAAGCAGGGACGTGGTGTGCGGGGCTGGAGTGGTCTCACAGGATCACAGAAATGTGGTGTGTGGGGCAAGACCCTGGGCATTACCAAGTCCAGCCCCTTTCAGGGTGGGCGACAGAGGACCAGGGAGGGCCAGTTCTGCCTGGGGTCACACAATGAGGCCAGCTGGCACCCAACTGGCTGCTTCTGGTCAGGCCTGCATGGTGTCCCCGGGTCCCCACATCCCCAGTACTGAGCAGGGACGGCGCCTGTTTGAACCTGTGCACTGAGCCCTGAGCAACGCCCGACTCTGCCCGGCAGGCTGGGAAGCGGACGGGTGTTGTTCAGGTTCTTGGCACCGAGGGTGGACCCTGAAGGCTTTCTGCTCCACTCCAGGGCCCCTCCCTCTTTCTGGGAGTGATCCTCCTGATCTGCACTGAAAACATCCCCCACCCCCAGGTGTGAAGACGGAGGGGACACATACCTTCCAGCAGGGGTCCTCATTGGCTAGCACAGGGAAGAAGGGCGGAGAATGTGTTAGTGGGCATTAGAGGAGCACAGATCAGGACTGGAGTCCACGAGGCCTCAAGTGGCAGGGTCTCTCACCCCAGGGCATGATGGAAGTATCCCAAAGTGATACCTGGGACCTCATCCCTGATCATGATGTGAGTATCACAAGGTCCCCATCCTATGATGCCTGAGTTCTCACCCCGGAGCATGATGGTAATACCCCAAGTCCCCCATCCCATGTCTGAGTTCTTACCCCAGGGCATGATGGGAGAATCCCATGGTCTCAGTGATGCCTGCGTTCTTACCCCAGGGCATGATGGGAGTATCATAAGGCCCCCAAGATGCCTGAGTTCTCACCCCAGGGCATGATGGGAGTATCCCAAGGTCCCAGTGATGCCTGGTTTTCACCTGAGAGCATGATGTGAATCCCACAAGTTCCCATGGCACCTAGGGTCCCACCCCAGAGCATGATGGGAATATGGGTCTCTGCCCTAGGAATAGGCTCTTCTAAGGCCTCTGAGCTCACATAGTGGCAGTGAGCTGCCCAGTGGAGGGAACCATCGCTCCAGGGACTCTGTCAAAGTGACATATTTTCAACTCTTTTTCAGCTACAACCACTCTCATGCTAGTAAATGATGTCAAACCATATATTTTAATGATCGCAAAAATGATTTTCCTTTCAGGTTCTGGGTCAGACCTGTCGGAAGAGCAGGTCCTGTGTCTGCACAGTAACCGACAGCTCACCGGGTGTTGTCACACTCACCCACTCACTCCCCCCCGTCACTGTCCCTGCAGAGAAGCAGGCAGCTACCAGGGAGGGACCATGACTTGTTGAAAGCTACACAGAATCCTCGGAGGGAGGCCTCGGGCCAGGCCCAGCCTGCAGAGCTGGGGGCGCTTGCTGAAGATCTGGCCCAACACCTTGTCGTACAGAAAGAGCCCAGGCCCAGAGGGGGAGATCTAGCCCTGGTCACACAGTGAGTCACAGGCAGAACCGGGCTGCGATCCCAGGGCTCCCAAGTCCAACCTGTGCTCTCTCAATGACCAGAGCGGGGACACGGAGGTGGTGAGACGTGGGCCAGGAACCTCCAGCCCAGGCCCGGAGGTACTAGAGGCTACCCACGTGTGGCGGAGAAGAGAGGCTCTCTAGGGCTGTCTGGAGGGCAGGCAGCACCGGGGCGGGCCACGCGGGCAGAGGCCACGCGTGCAGGCCACACCCAGACCTGTGGCGCAGGCTGCAGATGGAGGCCTGAGGAGGAGCGGGGAGGTAGGAGGCTCCTCGCAGCACCGCATCCTCTCCCTCCACCCAGGTCAGTCCTGTGCTGGGCGGGCCCAGCCCCTGCCCAGGCCCAGGGGTGCAGGACCAGCCAGAGCCAACTCTGCCCTGGCCCTGGAGCGGCTATGGCAGAAGCCACGGGCCGTGGCTGGTGCTTACCTCTCGCTGTGAGGAACAGGGGGCTGTTGAGATAGTTGGAGGCCAGCCGTTTCCTCTGCAGGGGACAGAAAACAAACAACACACCCGTCATCTGGAGTCTCTCAGCTAGGCCACTCTGACCCAGGACCCAACCCAAGGCAGGCTCCCTGCCCAGGCGCCAGGCTCCCTGCCCAGGCGCCAGGCTCCAGCCGGACTCCCCACTGGAGGCAGAGACAGGGATGGCAGGGGCAGGGAGGGCAGTCAGCGAAGGCCCTGTGCTGCTGGATGCTGAGGACAACGACCTCTGCCCCCGGGTTCACTTCGGGAAGGACACGTTAAGAGATTCCCAAGGTGGGAAAACCAGTGACAAAGCTACGTTGCTCTCTCCGTCTGTCCCCTGCATCTTCTTCCTCAACTGGCTCTGCAGTCAGGTGGGGAGATGGGGTCCGTTACAGATTCACTCCCTAAGAGTCCACTTTCTTGGCATGTGGCCCAAAGCATCATATGTAGACAAAGGTTTCTGGTTCATTCCAGGAGGGCGGCTTTAGTCCTACGGCAACCACAGGCCACACCCGTTCAGACCTTGGTGGTTCGAAGTGGCTTCGGCTGTGATAGGAAGATGGTTCTAGAATTGTGACTAGACTTAAAACCATCTCTCTTGAAGTGGTCAGGCTGTGTTCAGGGCCATGAGAGGGACCCATGGAAGGGCCCCTCTGGGGTTATGTGCTCGTCCAAGGCTCAAGGTCACGGGGCCTTGAGTTGACTTGCATAGGTCATCTCTGGACCTGGCCCCGGACGAGGGTGATGCTTCACCTGCACACAAAGCAGGGGACAGTTTCATTAACGAACAAATCAAAGGGAATGAGGCCCTTATCGTGCACAGAGAATACGCCATTTCCTTGGGTAGAAGTTGACAAAAAACTCGACGACATTCTTAGGAAAGACCCCAGTTTGGGGACAAGGCTTGTGCAGAAGGTCAAGGAGGAGGTGAATGGTACGAAGCTGCCCACGTGGGGCGCGCTCTCGGAACAGCAGCGGGGGATGGACGTGGAGGAAAGGTGTGGACGGGCTGACAAAGCCAGAAGATGCCCCGTGGATGGGCCTCTGCCGGGACAGGGCAGTCACAGGGCTGGAACTGGCCACTGCTCCACGGAGACCGTCCGTCCCAGTGGAGTTCAAGTTCACAAGACGCGGATTCTGGACGACTGGCCCAGACTAACGAACATCCTGGGGAGGGGAAACAGCATTTTCTTCATCCTTCCTCCAGATCTTACAGACTCTACGTCTGGAACATACCACACACTGGCCTTGGGAGATGTACGTTGTTTCACCCAGGACAGCTGTCCCAGGCTTTGGATTTTGGGGCCCCAGGGAAATGGCCTCCTTCCCAGGGGAAGATTCCAGGGTGCTGCCCCTAAAAGAGCCCTGAGCCTCTGAGAAAAATGCCCCGAGGGACTCTGCAGAGCTGGCTTTTAGGGAAGTGATGTTGGGATTTTAACCTAAGAATTCTGGACTTTAATTTACCAGGGCGGGAAGGTTTCATTCCCGATTTTTCTCCCTGGGAACCTGCTAATGGGAAGGGCCCAGGTGCTCAGGCATCTTCGAGTCCCAGCCCTGAATTACCGGACTGTCTTTGGTCACCACCTGTCGGGCTGCAGTGGACATCAGGGGTGGCACCTAGTCTGGGATGGGACCTGGATCAGGGAATTTCTTGCCTTGGAGGTTAACTTTTGACGTCCTATTCTAATTGTTTCAGAACTATGGTGGGTGGGGGACTGCACGCTGCCCACCAGCAGCCCTGGCTGACGCAAGCGGAAGCAGGGTTTGGAGCCGGTGCCTCCCGTGACAGAGGGAGCACACGCAGGGGGACCACGGGCTCAGGGCAAATCGCAGCGAGCGCGTCAGGCACAGCCTTGGTCCCCTGGCTCCACACTGAGGGGCTTCAGCTAGACTCAGGGCTGCCCCTGTCCTCCTCCTCGGGGATGGATGCTCCAAATGGGCGTGTAGGAGAAGGAACCGGCCACTCCTAGCCCAGCCCAGCCCCTTCTGGGCC